TTTATAATATGATATAAATTGATTAATTTAATAATATAATATAAACTATATCATTGATTTTAAATTTTTATCTTTTCTTTTCTCACCTTATATTAATTCAAATCCATTAGTAATTAATTTCAATGAAAATAGTTTAGTAACAACTTTTTATATTATTTTTTTATAAAATTTTATGTATTATTTAAATTATTATTATTTATTTAAAATATATAATATTAAATATATTTATTTATTTAATAACATATAAAAATTTTATTAAAAAGTATAAAAAAATTATTCTTATATTAGTGGCCAGTTTCACACCTCTATATCACAGTTTCTAAACCTCAACAAACGACGCCTTTCTATTTTGTGCAGCGAGCTAGCAAAAACCGACCAATTAGATTTTCGCATTCATACGGAAAGAGTGCTCCGCTGTGAATCTGGCTTCTTCTCTTCTTCTTCTTCCGTATCTCCGTACGATAGTTGAGGGACCAAAATGGGGGTTTAACCTATTTTTTATCATTTTAAATCAGATTTCAGAACTTTCCAACGAACCCAAACCTTAAAAAATTTTTAAAAAATTTTCATTTTCTTCCTCCTTTCTCCTCTCTCAATCCTTTAACAATTTACCTCCTCATTTCTCCATCAACCTTCCTCCTCCCTTTCCTTACTCATCCTTCTTCTTATTCTTTCTCTTCTCTCTTCTTCTTCCTCTCTTCCTTTCTTACCAATTTGGTGGGTTCTTAACCCCAAATTTAGGTTCTCAAAATAGCTAATCCAAGAGTCAAAGGTTCAAGAAGGAAAACAAGCCTCGAAAGCGCACTAGATTTGGAGACGAACAAGGAGACTAGAGAACACGTTAGAGATCACCTTGCATCGATGGGCGTAGAATTAGGGTTATTGGCAACGCTAGATGGTAGGTAAGAGCTACTTAATGTCATCGAATCTCCATTTCAACATCTACCAGGATATGAACAAGATGATGATAACAAAGAGAATCTCAAGGAAAGTAGAAAAGGCGAAGAAAATTGAGGAGAAAATAATAGTGAAGAATCGAAAAGTGTTGGTGCATTAATGGTTTTGAGATGATAGAGCATTCAAGAGGTGATGGTAGTTGGAAATCTGGAGAAGAGTGGAAGGTGATCTAGTGGAGGTCGAGATGATTGAAGAAATTGAGGTTGCTAGAAACAAAGATCAAGAAAGATCGAGAGAAACATGGGCTTACGACTTGGAGACTGGATTTAGGGTTTTTTTGTGTTTATAAGATGTATATAAGTGAGAGTGAAATGGTGAATATTAGGGTTAGAGATTAAAATGTGATTAAAATATCACATCACCTTATGTGTGCTTTTTTTCCACATCATTATTTAAAAAAAAAAAAACTTTGGATTTTCTAGCAATTTAACCACTTGTCACTTTCATTAACAAAAAGATTATTTTAGTATCGAAAACGAAAATTCAAGAATAATTTTGGTATTAAAATGAAAAGTTGAAAGATCAAAATGATATTTTAACATATTTTTTTATAATATATTAATGATAATTAATTTTTTTCTTATATATTATTCATGTTTCAAAATAATAATTATTTTTTATTTTAAATTTATTTTAAATTAATTGTCATTTTTTGTTTTTTAAAGTAGACAAATATTTTTTTCTATTTTAACCCTATCATCATCCATTCACTTTAATTAATTATCCAATCACAAAAACTTTCTCTTTATCTTTTTATTTTTTAGGGGGATAATTGATCAATACAATTATTATCCTTATATCTTTAATTTTTAAAAAATTAAAAAATAGCAGTTGTTTTAGATTGAAAAAGTATATATAGATTTTTTTAATAAAAATTTAATTACTATTAATATATATTATAAAAGTATTTTTTAAAGATAAATTCATGATTGAAATAAAACAACTAAATGAAAATAAGTGAGTAATATTTAAGAGTCTAAAGTTATAATTTTAAGTTTAATATGTGATGTAATATACTCATGAGTAGATGTACCATGGCTCAAATGAAAAAATATCTATTATTAAAAAAAAGTTGTTGTGTTTGACATTACTGAACAAATATTTTTCATTTTCATTTTCTCTTTTGTATCCGTCTCTATGACTGAGATGATATGGTATTTATACTTCTGCACATGTTTTATTTCTGTGCATGTTTTACGTGGGAGGAAGTTGAGAGATGGTTGTTGTGAGCTGTGTTCGGACTTCAGGGTCATCGAACTTGGGAATCGACCAAATGGGAATTGATAAACCTCGGAGTCAATTTTTTCTCAAAAGCATTTTCATGTTTTACAATCTCATGTCCAATATGAAAGCAATCCCAAATTTATCAAAATTAGAGCATTGATGGGTTTGATGGTGTGATTTTGCTTCATTACGATAGTCCTTTGTTTTGACTTTTATATCTTAAAGACGCAGGGTCATAATTCCTTTCCCCTGTGCGACATTAATGAAAATCTGTACATTTATGTGGATGCCGAAATTATTGACAAAACATGCAAATCACCCCCTCAACCCATCAATCAATGACAAATCACTTACTCAACTTACTTTACACGTAAATCAACCTTTAAACTCACTTGCAATAGCAAATCAGTCTTTCTGTTAAGGTCGATATCATCACTTTGTTAAATTTTACATTTGGTCTTCTAGTTATTGTACAAATTTTTAAATTAGTTTATCAATTAAAATTTTTTTGATTTTATTTAAAAAATTTTAAATTTAATTTTGAATTGGCCTATTTATTAAAAAATGATTAATGTATATTATTATTAATGTAATACATAAACATTAAGTATCACCCTTTTGTAGTCAATCAACAAATACGTCAGTTATATTTTAACGAATGGATCAATTTGGAGTTAAATCTAAAATTTTTAAGAATTAAATCAAAATTTATTTTTAATTTAAAACCCAATTCAAAGATATGTATAATAATTGAATGATCAAATTGAAAGTTTAATATATATTAAATTATTAAAAAATATTAATTTTTTGTATCAAATGAGAATTATTTATTTAATAATTAATATTTTATAATTTATGCAGTTTAAATTACAAATAATTTTTGTTATAAGTATGCCACGGGGTCAATGGGAATGTAATTAAATAGTCATTACAAGTCAAATGAAGAAACCAATATAGATTTGGTTGGATACGCGAGAATATAGGTTTCGGGGATCTAAGGGTCCTGGATTGATCATCTCCTTTGGAAGTAGAACGAGAAGAATTTCTAAGGTTGATCTTCTTAGGATATTTACTTATTCGGTGTCCGCAACTCCACGATTGCTGTCACCCGCGTTGCAATTATTATCAAGCTGCTACTTTATTAGCACATTTGTCAATTTAATGCAATTGGTTTACTTTGACTAAAAAATTCTAAATATAACACCTAGCCTTGCGGCCCAACGGCTATAAACCATCCATCTAATAAGCTACATTTTCTTAATCTTTATGCTGATTTCAAATCCTCCACCACACAATTATAAATCCGTTAAAAAAAAAATCAAATATATATACTATATATAAAATAAGAAGGTAATATGGTTGATTTGTTGTATACAAAAAAATAAGTATCAAGAGAAATTTTTTTTATAAAGTTTGACATAATTTGATCTTTTAAAAAATTAAAAAAAATTATTTTAAAATTATATTATTTTAATAAATTTTTATTAAAAATTTAAAATATACTATTTTTAATGTATAAATTAGAGTTTGTTTTGTTTTTTATTATAGTGTTTTATTG